ATGTGGTAGCCTCCACAGGCTAAGGAGCAGGCTTGATGTGGCTCAGGCTAGAAGTAGGATTCTGGGGGCCAGGCCCACCCTTAGTATCAAGAGCTGAAACCTGCAAGCGGAGGGCAAGGGCCAGGTCTTGAGGGTAGGGAGAAGCACAAAGAGTTCCTCTGTATGTGCCTGACTCAGAGCTAGTTCTGACCCCTGGTTTTTGTTGGAGCCTCATACTCCTAGAAGTCTCTGAAATGGATGAGTAGTAGCTAAATGTTTTCTTTTTTAATCACATGCTTGTTTTGATATAACATCAAATACTGTGTTCATTATATAGTTTCTTTTTTTTTTGTCTTTCTGAGACAGAGTCTCCCTGTAGCCCCAGCTAGCCTGGAACTCACTATATAGACCATGCTGGCCTGGAACTCACTATGTAGACCAGGCTGGCCTGGAACTCACAGAGATCTGCCTGCCTCTGTCTCCCGAGTGCTGAGATTAAAGACAGCCACCACCCTGGCTATATAGTACATTCTTAAATATGGATTTTTTTTAAAAAAAGAAATGAAATTATAAACTTCAAAGTAAATAAAAAGTTTTAAAATTTTCTTTCTGTACTTGATTGCTTACCTGGTGGTTGCTTTAGACCATGAGGGTAAGAGCACCTTGGGGAAGACCTATGTAAAATGACTCTGTCCTGTGTTCTCAAGGTCTCCCCTACTTCCTACCATCCTAGGACAGCACAGTGGGGCTCAGTGAGAACAGTTCCATCAGAGGTGCCTAACCAAGGCCATTGAAGTAGCTTTGCTGGTCCCTGCTGCTGGTTCTCTACATGGACCACCTGTACCCAGAGTACTAAGGGCCCCATCAAGTGAGTGATACCCCACATGCAAGGTCCCAGCAGCAGCATTTTCACAATTCTGCTGTCACTGGCCAGTGAGTGCTCTCCAAACTGTAGTGTGAGAATTTAGTCCCGAGCTAATGCCTAGTGTGTTGAGAAACCATCATGCCCCCCCCCCGTTATTTTTCCAGTAAATAAGATATAAAAGCCTCACGTTAGTGGAAATAGTGGAAGGCATGTTTATTATATACCTGGGTCTACAAAACAGACCTTATTCTAGAGATGCTAGTCTAGCAGTGATAATAACACCACTAGAATCGACAGAAGTGGGCATTTTGCACGTATTACCTCATTTAATCTGTTGGACTGACCTTGAGATAGAAGCTATGAGAATGATACCCCCAGAGCGAAAGTTCAGTGCTCCTAGACAGTCCTTTGTAAGCCATCCACTGTTCCATTGACTACTTAGTTTGGTTCCTTTCCATTCACAAAACCTCCTGAGAGCAGCCTCTGTATAAGATTCCTTTTCCCATCTTTCTCTGCCACTAACACAAGATAGTTTGCTGAACTATATGCTGGTATGAATTGGTACATGAATGGATGCCTAAGAAATGTGTAGTAAGACATCACATTCCCTGTAATGTTTTGGGGATGTCAGTCAACAAAGGTTCATTGAGTATATCTTCTGTTCCGAACATCTGAGATTAAACAGTGTTCTTGTCTTTAAGGAACTTGGAATCCAGTCTCTAGAGACCGTATTATAGAGTAACCAAGAGCAGAGCAGCAGCCCAGGCTGAACATGCAAGTACACTAGGTCTGTCTACCTCCACCTGCAGAGTTTAATTGTGCTGCATTACTTGTAGTAGCCAGGCATGCAGGTAGCAGCAGGAATGTTACAGAGACTTAAGTGGGCCCAGAAAGGGCAGCTTAGCACCAGCAGAAAGCCAGTGACTGCAGAGAAGTATGACTAGTACAGAGGAGACTGGTTGACTTGGCCTTTTCTCTGATGGCATTCTATCATACAGAAATAGGGTTTGGGTAAGTGACTGACAGTGGAACCCTTGGTCCTCACCCCATCTCTTTCCTTACCACACAAAGCTTGTTGGGAGAGAATGTTGTTGAGAGCACAGAATCTCAGCCCTAACAGTTACAGGCAGCTCTCCTGTAGCCTCTGCAAAACAGTGCAAACACAGCATGGGTAAATAGCAGCACCCCTCCAAACCCTGCCCTGTAGCAATCATAGCTTCTTTACTGTCCCACTGGCTGCATGAAAAACAGGAATTTGTGTAACAAGCCCTGCATAGCAAACCTTTTCCTGTTTGGAAAAAAAGGTTTTAATTGTTGGCAAAGTTAGTATACAGCTCTGTTACTCAAAGAACGACCTGAAATGTCCTCTGAAAAATATGTAGTATGATATTTTGATAAGTAAAGAATTGTGGCCAAAACAGAACATGAAGAAAAAGTCCAAGCAATGAGTTAGTAGATGCTCCACCTGAAGTTAATGAATCTTTTGAACCTTTTTTTGAGACAGTCTCCCTGTATAGCCCCAACTGGCCTGGAACTCACTATGTAGATCAGGCTGGCCTCTATCTCACAGAAATCCTCCTGCCTCTGCCTCCTGAGTGCTGGGATTAAAGGCATACACCACCTTGCCCGACTCTTTTCTGAAGATTTCATTATTATGTCTTCTGCAGTCTTATTGAAAATGCCCCCATCTGTATTTGCCAGTGGTCTGACAGAAACATATGTGTGTCAGAGTTGTATCCCCTTCCCCTGCTTTGTTAGTTCTCAAGGCAGGCAATGAGGAAGTTGCTGTCTGGGAAGATCTTTCTCCCCCTTTATTATTAACTAAATTTGACCGGGACAGGAGTCAAGCTTCCTCTACTCCAGAGGTTTCATCAGAGTTTATCTGTGTGTCTATTGTGTTCAAAGAACAAAACTGTCATGTTGGAATATTGTGCAAATGCCCAGACTTCCAGCATGTAGACAGTGTTGCGGGATGCAGGGTTGCAATGCTGGCTGCTTTCCAGACCATCCCAGGCAGGCCGTTGGTTTTAAGGAGGAATTGAGAATTTAGGTTATTGTGTTGGTGGGCATGGCAGCCAAGGCTGTAGCTCATAGGAAGCAGCAAGACTGGAAATCTGTGGCATTAAAATACAGTATGAGAGAAATTTGTTCATTAACCTCTGTGGGAAATGTCTGGAGTTTAAGGCCTTGTGCCCCTTACAGCACAAGTGTGGATCATACATGGACATGTAGAAGGAAGTCTTGGGAAGAGACCACTATTCCCAAACAGCCCACATACCCTCTTGGCACCCAGACAGAAAGATCCTGTTGGACCATGTCTGACCCACAGTCACCATGCACTCTGGCAGAAGGGCTTGCCACATAGCTACTGTGTTGCAATCCTTGGGCAGAATGTAGAACATTCTGAGGCTGTTTTGAAATGTGAGTTTCTCAGGTCCATTGGGCCTTCCTCTGACTTTTGCATCTCTTTTTAGAAAGTGAGGTACCCACTCCACCTTTGTTTTCTATCTCCTTTTGGTGAGAAAAGACATGCGTTCAGGGTGATGTAGAAGCTGACCCTGTACTGCTCTGCCCAGGTGCAATGTTTGGCACTTGAGCATCTTCATCCCATGCTAATAGCATGAGGATGTGGGCATTGTGGCTGTCTCCCTGGGTGACCACAAATCCAGCCAGAGTCACTTTGTGGTTCAAGAAAGGACCACAAGGCGCTTGGGCAGCTAAGCCTTGCACCCAGTGGGCAGAGGAGGCCAAGAAGTCTTAGGGCCATGTGCACAGATCTGTGAGGTGCCCAGGATACTGCTCCTGGGCTTGGGATCAGGTCCCTGGTGACTGAGGCTGCCAGATGAATGGGTAGCAACTGTGCTGAGACAGAAAGCTGCATGACAATGTGCCTACTTGAGCCTAGTGTTCCTACTCCCCCAGGTGTGTGCCACAGATTCCCCCAAATGCCAAAAGTCATACTGGGGTTTCCTTATCTTCACCCTATATATTTGCAGATGTTTACACCCAGTTGCAGTGAGTTTAAGTATGCTTTGTATCTATACTGCACTGAATAAGAGCAGAGAGGCATCATAATTGCCTCCCTTGTCTCTTTGGCTAGTGTGTAAGCCCTTTTGCATTGTTTTGAAGTTAGTAGGTATACTATTGGTTATTGGAGTAGAAAAGTACTTCTTGAATTTAAATTTTTCTTTTTATGGCAATCTTTCCCAAATAGAAAAGTGACTATTTTCTTAATACTCACTTGTATTTGTCTAATGGACTCTCAAGGTATAAATGACTTTAAGACATAACTATTTTGGGGGGCTTTTAATTTTTCGTTATTGTTTTGTTCAAATGGGGCTTGCTATATGACTCAAGCTAGCCTCAAACTCAACGATCCTCCCATCTTCTCCTCCCAAGTGCCGAGATTACAGGCAGGCGCCACCAAGCCTGGCTCAGACTTTTAGTTCTTGAGTAGAAATATATCCTGCTTTATCTTTTTCTTTTCTGTGATTGTGTGGGCCCAGTGATATAGAACATCTCACTTTGTGGAACTGGTATGTATTTCACCTGGAGAGAACTGACAGTTTTAGGAGGCGGAGTAGAACAGGAAGAACCTTTGGTGGCACTTCAGTGTGACTACTATTTGCACAAATAATAGCTGAGCAAAATTTTTAAAACCACTTCTTATAATTTTCCTATAAAATATAGCTGTGTAAAAGAAGATATTTACAATCATGCTTATTTAATTAGAAAAAGTGCTATTTTTAAGATTAGCTGCTATTTTTCCTACATCAATTTGAGATCTTTTATCGTGGGCTTAGATCTGTTATGACTCTTCAGGGCCAGTGAGATGGCTCAGTGGGTAAAGGTGATTGCCATGTAAGCCACACCCTAGAGACCTGAGTTCAATCTCTGGAACTCATGTAAAGGTTGAAGGAGAGAACAGACTCCTCACAGCTGTCCTCTGACCTCTATATATGAGCTATGGCCCATAAGCTGTGACATATGTGTTCCCACACACACACACACACACACAAATAAGAATGATTATGGCTAGTAAGATTTAAATCTGTACCATAAACTCAAAAAATTGCATGTCTTCCTTATGATTCATGCTGAAGGTAAACTTTCCAAGTGGAGAACTATATACCTAACATGTTGTTTTGCTTTACAGAATTCAATTCGTCATAATCTGTCCCTGCACAGCAAGTTTATTCGTGTCCAGAATGAAGGGACTGGAAAAAGTTCTTGGTGGATGCTCAATCCAGAGGGAGGCAAGAGTGGAAAATCCCCCAGGAGAAGAGCTGCATCCATGGATAACAACAGTAAATTTGCCAAGAGCCGAGGCCGAGCTGCCAAGAAAAAGGCATCTCTCCAGTCTGGCCAGGAGGGTCCCGGGGATAGCCCTGGATCTCAGTTTTCCAAATGGCCTGCAAGCCCTGGCTCCCACAGCAATGATGACTTTGATAACTGGAGTACATTTCGCCCTAGAACCAGTTCAAATGCTAGCACCATCAGTGGGAGACTTTCTCCCATCATGACAGAACAGGATGATCTGGGAGATGGGGATGTGCATTCTCTGGTGTACCCACCTTCTGCTGCAAAGATGGCTTCTACTTTGCCCAGTCTGTCTGAGATCAGCAATCCTGAAAACATGGAAAACCTTTTGGATAATCTCAACCTTCTCTCATCCCCAACATCATTAACTGTTTCAACCCAGTCTTCACCTGGCAGCATGATGCAGCAGACACCATGCTACTCCTTTGCACCACCAAACACCAGTCTGAATTCGCCCAGCCCAAACTACCCCAAGTACACATATGGCCAGTCCAGCATGAGCCCCTTGCCCCAGATGCCTATGCAGACACTTCAGGACAGCAAGTCAAGTTATGGAGGATTGAACCAGTACAACTGTGCACCAGGACTCTTGAAAGAATTGCTGACTTCTGACTCTCCTCCCCATAATGATATCATGTCACCAGTTGATCCTGGGATGGCACAGCCCAACAGCCGGGTCCTGGGCCAGAATGTAATGATGGGCCCTAATTCGGTCCTGCCAGCCTATGGCAGCCAGGCATCCCATAACAAAATGATGAATCCCAGCTCCCATAACCACCCTGGACATGCGCAGCAAACATCTGCGGCCAATGGGCGTACCCTGCCCCACGTGGTGAACACAATGCCTCACGCATCGGGGATAAACCGCCTGACTCCAATGAAGACACCTTTACAAGTGCCTCTGTCCCACCCCATGCAGATGAATGCCCTGGGCAGCTACTCTTCTGTGAGTAGCTGCAATGGCTATGGGAGGATGGGCGTCCTCCACCAGGAGAAGCTCCCGAGTGACTTGGACGGCATGTTTATTGAGCGTTTGGACTGTGACATGGAGTCCATTATCCGGAATGACCTCATGGATGGAGATACCTTGGATTTTAACTTTGACAATGTGTTGCCCAACCAAAGCTTCCCTCATGGTGTCAAGACTACGACACACAGCTGGGTGTCAGGCTAAGAGTTAGTGAGCAGGTAAGTTCACCCCAGTATCAAAAGACCTTTTGAAAAAGGAACGCAATGCCATGTGTCTTCCATGGTTAGACCTCTCTTTTTAAATTAAAGACAGGGTCTTATGTAACACAGGCTTCACTTTGTACTCTCTCTGTAGTGGAGGACAACCTTGAACTGATCCTCAGGCATGCTGGGATTGCAGGCGTATATGAGCAAACATGGTCTCTGCAGTGCTGGTGATCTACCCAGGGCTTCAGGAAAGCTAGGCAAACACTGAGCTCCATCTCCAGCTCATGTTAGGCTTTTTCTAATGCCACCCAATTGTATTGCAGAGAGGCATCTTTTATCATACCACCATTTTTTTTTCAGTTTATATATTGTCTTTTTGAACTTAAATATAACAAGCTTCCTTTAACATCTTTAAAAATTTTTCTTTTGACAGTTAGATGGCTGTATCCTTTTTAGTAGCTCTTTAATAAATGAACACATTTAATACAAATCAAATGCCAAAGGTCTTTTATATAAAGAGGGACCCCCCCACTGGATGATTTTGGAACTGTTTGAGAAAGCTCCCCCCTCCCCAAGTAGGCCATCATTCTAGGTTGTTAAGTAGAATTTATTTTAATTTGCTGTGTTTTCATTGTGTGTATGTGTGTGTTTTTCCCCCTTAGGCTACACTTAAAAGTACTTCAGATTGTCTGACAGCAGGAACTGAGAGAAGCAGTCCAAAGATGCCCTTCAACCCCTCCTTTTAGTTTTCTTGATTTAAAAAAAAACAAAAAAAACAAAAAAAACTTTTTTCTTTCGTCAGACTTGGCAGCGAAGACACTTTTCCTGTACAGGATGTTTGCCCAATGTTTGCAGGTTATGTGCTGCTGTAGATAAGGACTGTGCCATTGGAAATTTCATTACAATGAAGTGCCAAATTCACTACACCATATAATTGCAGAAAAGACTTTTGGATCCTGGTGTGCTTTCAAGTTTTGTATATAAGCCGTAGATACAGAATTGTATTTGTGTGTGTTTTTTTAAAATACCTACTTGGTCCAAGGAAAGTTTATACTCTTATTTGTAATACTGTGATGGTCTCATGTCTTGATAAATTAAACTTTTGTTTGTACTACCTGTGTTCTGCTAAAATGACGAATCACGAAGAACTGAGATCTCCATTCTGCACTTTGCTGAATGGTTTTAAACCTGTTCACCTTGCCACAGGATTCACACGAGAACCAAGTAGCCTGTGATCAATCTGCTGAATTAATGGACATGTTGGACTTGGGGAGAAAAGATTAAGTGCCAGCTTTGTACAGGTCTTTTTCTATTTTTTTGTTGTTGTTTATTTTGTTATTTGCAAATTTGTACAAACTCTTAAAATGGTTCTTATTTCCAGATAAATGGCTTTTGATGTTATTGTTGGGACTTGAGATCATTTTTGGGATATTGAACTGTAATGTTTTCTTAAAATTAGAGTCTACTTTGTTACGTTGTCTGCTTGTAAATTTGTGGAATCACAGGTATTTGGGGGCAGCATTCACCATTTTCATTTTGTATTTCTAACTGGATTAGGACTAATTTTATACGTGCTTAACTGGTTTGTACACTTGGGGATGCTGCCTGGTGATGTTTCTGACTAATCTTAAATCATTGTAATTAGTACTTGCATACTCAACATTTCTGCTCTGCTTGGGCAGGAAAGTGATATATAGTTACAGACACTTTGTGTTTCGTATTTAGAAGAATTTAATATGTTTTTATGTATGTATTTTAAGGAATTTTTCACCTGCTTCTATTACCCTGTGAATTGTGTGTGCCACATAGCATCAAGTCTTCTGATAGATGCCTGTGTGTTGCATTGTTACAGTTATTCCAGGGAGGCCTCATTATGTTTGTAGATCAGGACGGGGACCTTTAAAATGATGTTCCTTTGTCTAAAAGGGGGTGGTGCGGTGAGGAGGGAAGTCCCTCATACTTGGAACTCTTATTTTCATCAAGGTGGGGGTGGCTTGTGACTGTTCCCTCCCCCCCTTTCTCTCCCCCCTCCCCCTCCCCCCCTTGACTGAACAGTTTTAAGTTGAAGGAGGAAGTTTAAAAATAGGACTTCAGTGATTTATAAGGTGTTTTGTGTTCATAAGTACAGATAGTGACTACCAAGTGGAATAGAACTAGTTTAAAAATTGAGGCAATTGACTTGAAAACCAATCAGCTCTCGAGTTGTACATTATTTTAAAAACTTGAGCTTGAGAATTTGAGGATTTTTTTCAGCCTTTAGCAGCCTAAACTGAAACTGAGACCGTTACAGGCCATGCTAATTTGCTTTGCTTCTTGTTCCATCCATCAGTGATGCAGAATACCCCACATCACCACAGTAGATGCACAGCATCTATTCCTCTAGCCTTGTGAGAAGGCCTGGTTTCCGTGTACGCAGCTAAAACCACACTTGTTGGGTTTAGTATGTTACTCATCTCTCCATTGACTTAGTTTCTTGTATATGTTCACAACATAAATAAATGTTCCTGATAGATTTCCACAGTTGGCCTGCTTTGTTATCTGCTTCCTGCTGTGACTTTCACTATCAAACATGTGTTAAACAGTCACACCTCTAATCATCACCCATGTTTGGGCACTCTAAACAGGGCTCCTTTTAGAAACCTTAGCTCCTCCAAGCAGAGTCTCTGCACATGAGGTAGCTACTAATGTTAAAGAACTCATCTTACTTTCCTTCCTCACACACCATTGTTTCACTGTTACAGGAGTTTGTGTGCCCCTAATCAGTCACCACAGAGACATCTACAGCCACAATCACTGGTATAATTTAGTACATCATGGAGTGACTTTTTTGGAAGATGTCCCCTCGCCCCCTGAAACTGTAAATTTCAATACTAACCCCCACTCACTGTCAAAATCTTAACATGAATCCTGGGTAGTTGTCTGGGGTACAGTGAAGTCAGAAAAGGCTTCTTGTCTGTTTTGGAAGCAAGCATCATGTGGCCTCTGGGAGTTCTTTTTCTATAAGAATACTGACTTTCTGGAGTAATTAGTATATTATTGTACATGATTGCTTTGTGAAATATTCAAATGATATCATCTATGCAGCCTTGTTTGATTTATTTCCTCTGGTTTGTACTGTTATTAAAAGCATATTGTATTATAGAGCTATTCAAATATTTTAAATATAAAGATGTATTGTTTCCGTGATAATAGATGTATGGAGTATATTTAGGTAATAGATGTGTTACTTGGAAATTTCTGCTTGGACAAACTGACAGTCTTAGTTGATGAGCAGATGTTTTGTCAGCAGTAAATCATGGAGCATAACAAGAATAAGATAAGGATACTTAAAATGGAAACAATTCTCCAAAGGTATACAATTCAAGCTTATTCACCTGCTGAATATATGTTGCCTATACCCCCCCCCCCAAAAAAAAACAAACCCTTGAGGTTCTTAGTTTCAGATCTTAAAAGTTACTGATTTTAAGGGAGAAGTTATTCTTTGGTTTCAGTTTGGGAGTGATCATTCAGTATAATGGGCATTTTGGTTTCTATAAACAGAACAGCCTGGCACTATGGCCACTAATGGCCTCGTAAGTCCCATCAGGATAGAGTTGAGGCTCCCACACACTTCAGCAGCTGAATTGTAGTGACAGTACAGATTCCATGTCCCTGTTCAATACTCTCTGAGAAGTGCCTGATGATGCTGATGTACTTACAGACACAAGAACAATCTTTACTATAATTGTATAAAGCCATAAATGTACATAAATTATCTTTAAATGGCTTGGTGTCTTTCTTTTCTTAGTGTTCTAAATAAGCTCTTGAACAAGAATGTTTTTGTTTAGCCATCAAGTACTTGAGTTAGACCTTGTCAACCCCAGTGTCACAGTTTAATCAAACTGGCATTTCCTTTGGAGGAAAGAGGAAACTGTCCCTGAGGACCAGACCGTGACCCCTGAGTAAAGAAGTGCAATCTCGGATAACTAACAGTCCTAGAGTATTTCAGTCTTGGAATGTCTGGAACCACATTTGGGGCAGTAGTTATAAGGCACATGGAACCTCTCTTCATACCAGACAAGTCCGGTAGGAGCAGGGCCCTAGTTACAGCAAACACTAGGTGATGTGGTAGATGTATTGGCTTTCCAAGGTCAGCCACGTGTTCTGACTATATACCTTGTGGAAGGGAGGATGGGTCCTTTCTGTGTGTGTTGGCTCAACTCAGAAAGTGCCTGAGGAATGAGTGAAGATTTGGTTAACATAGTTAAGAATATATGTGTTAGAATAAAGGCTCTGCTTTTTTTCCAACCCTCTACCTGGCAAGCAGATGAATGAGGAATAATGAGGAAATAGTGTTCTAGTGTTTATGTTTAGACAGCAGATCAGTCCAGGAGGTTGTTTTTCCCCATCTCACAGCAGAACTTTTTCTTTAAAGACAGAGTAGTCAGAAGTACATAGAACACCCCACAACAAAAAACAACTAAAAACCCACCCACCTCTAGACCCTGAGGCTCATGCACGCATCAGTTTTGAAAACCCTTGATCTGGTCCAAATACAGAAGTTGTTGATGATATTTCTGGAAACTCCAACCTGCTGGCTCCTTGAATAACACTTGAGATCAGTCCCCAAGTGACATTACTTGATAAATGGCAGCAGATAACAGGAAAGTCTCCCTGAAGGAGCTTGATGCTCAGTTCCTCAGAATGAGACTCCCTTTTTTCAACCATGTCTAGGCCCCTGCTGTGGCTAGAGATCACTGTAGAGTTGGCTTCTTGACAGGGAACTAGCCACCCTAAAGGATTTTGTCTTGGATCTTGTTTTTTTTTTTTTTTTTTTAAATTTTATTTTAATTTAATTTTGTGTATGCGTGTATTGCCTATACACGTAGGTAAGTGCACCCGTGTCCAGCAATGCCTGCAGAGGTCAGAAGAGGCTGTCAGATAGATCCCCTGGGACTGGAGTTACAGACAGTTGTTAGCTACCATATGGATGCTGGGACTCAAACCCGGGTCTTCTGCATCAATAACCAGTGTTCTTAACAGCTGAGCCACCTCTCCAGCCCCGGCTCTTGTTTCTTAATGACTGAGATGACTGTTTCCATGGTGGTGCTCCACCTTAACAGTGGTTGGTATGGTTGGAAGGCTGAACCAAGACAAGAGCTATACGGAGTGGAAATCTCTGAAGTACAGCACCATCACATAGTCACTAAACATATCTTTTGATAGTGCTCGTGATAGACCCATGAGCCTGTAGCTGGGTCGGTTCTGTACCATAAGTTGTAAGTGTAAAAAATATTCTAATCTTGAGTCAGTGGTTTCCATTTTTTTCCTTCTGAATAATGAAAAATTAGAAACGCAATCTAAACAAAAGCAAAATTGCTTTGGGAGTTATATATGTGGACTTAAAGGAAAAAGGAAGGAGATAGTCTGGGTGGGAAAAGGCAGTGTATCAGGAAACTAACATGAAGTGGGCCCACCAGGGTAAGAACTGCAGGCTGGAGGATCCTTTAACCCCAAGAGTCTTACTGTGTGTCTACAAGTTGGGAGAGTTTTACTTTTTGAGACAGGGTCTTACTATGTAGCTCCTGATCGCCTGAGTTGGGATACAGGTGTGTGACCACCTGCCTGATGAGTGTTCAGTTTAATTCAGCTGAGGAAGCTTTCTGCTGGTGCTTGGCTTCACAGCAGCAGGAAGTCCATGCTGAGAAGGCATTTATTCACTTGTTACAGGAAAAAAGGCAAAAAGTAGAGGCAAGTGTCCCTAAACTTAGGTCAGTGTAACTTGACCTGATTGGTAGCAAGACCCTTCTGCCCACCAAATACTCAGTGAGTTTAGACCAAAGACAGTTTCAGGCCATTAGCCCCCTTATCATGTTCACATGTCCCAGAAGTGAGTGAAAGTCTTGTTTGTACTTGGAGCCACCAGTAGAAAGTATAGAGATTCACATCCTCCAGGGAAGAAAGAGGGCAACTTTGTAGTGGCTTGTTACTCTGATATTTGAGTTGTTGCTGTGTAGCACAGGCTAGTTTAGAACTCAGGATCCTTCTGCCTCAGCCTCCTGAGCATTGGGATTACAGGCATGCCCCACCATGACCAGTGCTTACTCTTTACATATACCACAAGCTCCTGTCTCCAGACAGCAGCTTTCAGAATTCCCTCAAAAATACGTCTTGTCATGCGCTGGAAAGACATCCCTGGTTAAGAGCACCAGCTGCTCTTGCAGATGATCCAGGTTTGGTTCCCAGCACCTACATGGCAGCTAGCAACCCATCTGCAACTCGCAGTTCCAGGGGATCATGTGCTCTTTTCTGGCCTTCATGGGCAGTGCACACACACAGTGTACTTATATACATGCAAGCAAAACATACATATAAAATCAAAATTTTTTTTAAAGTTTAATGTGTTACTTGGGGCTGGAGAGATGACTCAGTGGTTAAGAGGTTCCAGCTGCTGTTGACCCGGGTTCAATTCCTAGCACCCACGCAATGGCTAACAACTGTTCCAAGGGACTCCAACTCTCTTTTCTGACCTCCACAGGTATTGCAGTACACAGATGTACTTGCACACATGCAGGCAATACACTTATACACATAAATTTTAAAAAGTGTTACTCAAATTTTGTTGCTGAGCCAGCTGTTTAGAATACAGCTTCTTTCTCCTGGACCATTTTAAAGCAGTTGTCTTCCTGATGAGCAGAGGGAGGTCTGTTTGCACTTCAGTGCTTGATTCAGAGATGCCCATTAGTCTGTGCCAGACATTAGAAACACTTAGAGTGTCTGCAGAATGGGACACTTTTGATACTTGCACAATGATCTCCTGCAGATAGGTTAAGCCGAGGACACCCTTTGCTACCTGAGTCACAGGTTGGATGTGAGGATTAGAGAGTGAGGTAATGTCTTTCAGAGACTTTCTGTGTCTGGGGGAAAAACCTGCATACCAGTTGGTGACCCCTTAGGTCACAGGCTCTGGGGATTTGTTTCCTTTGTGGGACACAAGGACTGTCTTCATCTCAGCACATGCTAAGTACGAGAGTTGTCTGGTTCATTTCCAGTGTTTTTTATGTTTATTTGTTACCTCTATCTTAAGCAAGGGATTGAGTAATCAGTTTACTAGACTCGTACTCCAAGACAGTTTAATAAACTTCTGTTGTCTTGGAAACTCTAGAAGTACTAGTTTAAAAAAACTGTTAGGAGCCGGACACGGTGGTGCACGCCTTTAATCCCAGCACTCAGGAGGCAGAGGCAGGCCGATCTCTGTGAGTTTGAGGCTAGCCTGGTCTACATAGTTCCAGGCCATCTGGGGCTATGGGGAGACCCTGTCTCAAAAAAATAAAGAAAAAAAATGTTATATCCCAAATATGAACTAGTTGTGGTATTGTTTTCCAAGAAATTCCTCATCATGGGCTCATTAAAGACAGGCAGAGGCATTTTTGGCTTCCTTGCCCATGCCCTCCAGTCTAAAGTAGAATGGAGATCTCCAGCTCCTGTACCCTTCCCTGGTAGTCTATCAGTAAGGGAGGGAAGGAGGAGGAAAAAAGACTGACGTTAGGGTCACTGTGGGCTGCTGGAATCTATTCACCTACTTCCCAAGAACAGATAAGACTTTGGGGAACTTTGTTGATAAACACTATTAAATCACTTGGTAATTTCGGCACTTGGGTGACGGACACAGGAGTACTGAGGTGAGTTCAAGGCCAGCCAGAGCTATGTAATAAGTTTATGCAGCCTGGACTACAGTATGACCCTGTCTATAACAAAAACGAACAAAACCATTCTGCAAAATTCAGTTGAATGGATGGAATTTCTGCTGGAGTATTGGTTAGTTTTTAGTTGCTTATCACACATCCTTGGTGTTGTAATGAGCACCTGCATACATCCAAGCGTTCCTGGTTCTACCACATAGCAGGTAGCTCAGCCTTTACAGCACACCACTGACTGGGAGTATGAAGGTATTGAAACCTCAGTGGCTTTGGTGGCACAGGGCTGGGACAGTAGGAGTGAGGTTGAGGCAGTGGTGACTGAAGATGTGAAGTACAGAGCTCTGCTTTGGGCCAGAGAGTGCCAGGGTCCAGGACCAACCCAAGGGGCCTTGGGGCACAGGGCTGAGAAAGTTCCCAAGTGCCAGAGCTTTTGACAAGAAGAAATACTATGAAAAGCTGGCTGCTACCAGCATCAAGGCTTTTCTATGAGGAGGGGGAGGCAGGACTTCGGGATTTGAATATGCAAAAGGATGCCAGTTCTGCCTTTGAGACTGTCTATAAATGGGAATAACTTCACCTCTTACTGGAGTTAACTGTGGGAATTAATACCCGAGTTAGCCCCTATCACAGTGCCTTGTATCGAGCATGGCCTCAAAATAATAGTAGCCAAACATTCTAGTTTGCCATAGACAGGCTGTTGTCCCAGCACAGATATCTTTGAGAGTGACTGGTGTTTAGGTGTAGGTTTGGTTGATTACTGTATGTTCATCCTACCAAAAAACAACAACAAAAAAAAACTTTCGTATTAACTGCATCTTTTAAAACCTTTACTACACAGTGGGTGTGCTAAGAGCTCCCCATGGGATGAGATGACTCAAGTCCTGGGATCCAGGGTTATTCTGGAAGAATGTAAGCCTGGTGTCTCCACAGAGTTGTTTACAACCTCTGCTTCTATGCTGTGGTTTGAAGTTGGTGTGCCCTTTCCAAACTCATGTTGGATCCTTACTCTCAATGTGAGCAGATGAGGAGGTGGAGGCTTTGAGAGGTGATGAGGTTATGACGGGGCAGCCCTCACAGATGGGA